TGCTGCAGGTGGGCTCCAGGTAGTCTCAGGTGGCGGCCCTTGGAGGCTACCAGGGTGATGCCGGGACAGCCAGAGACCCCGGGCTGGGCATGTTGCTGGGTGCAGCTCTGCCTGTTTACCCCGAGTGCCGTGCAAATAATATCCTGTTCTCTGTGAGCCGTGTCGTGAGAAAGATCGGGAAGCTCTGCCCCAGGTGAGGGCCGAGCAGCTGCACTTCAGGAGTGACCGGGCCTGACGGCTGCTCTTCCAGCTCACCCACTGGTGCCCGGCCCCACCAGGTTCTTGCCGCGCCAGGAATCTGGTAAAGAGAGAGGACAGTGCCGTGGGCAGAGAGGGTGAGAGATTCTGGTCCCCAAGTCCTACAGAATCTTCGCAGATCAAACCTCAGGGTTTGACTGAGATTTCTGGAATGTGTCAGTCCTACAGAGGGGCTTTCAGAGCGGCCAGGGACCTTACAGGTCATTGTAGCGGTTAAGCATATAGGTTCTTGTTTTGCCACAAAGAGAAATGAAGCCCTGATACAGCCACAACATGGATGAGCCTTGAAATCATCATACTAAGTGAAACACAAAAGTGTCTGATTCCATGTCTACGAAATGTCCAGAGCAGGTAAATCCATAGAGACAGAAAGTAGATCAGTGGTTGCCTAGGGGTGGGGGGCAGGAGGACTGCGGGGTATTACTAAATGATACGGGATTTCTTTAGGCGGACGCAAATGTTCTAAAGTCAGCTGTGGTGATGGTTGCACAGCTCTGAATATACTAAAACCCCCTGAATTGTACGCTTGGAATGGGGGAGTTGAATGGCATGTGAATTATTGCTTGATTTTAAAAAGCTCAATTACAAAAAGGGGGGTGTAGGCTGCAAGGTGAGGTGGCCTGGGTTCAAATCCTCGCCCCACAACTTGGTACCTGGGGCAAGTCACTTAACCTCCTGGTGCCTGGATTTGATCACCTGCAACAAATGAAGATGACAAATCCTGGGGCTGGCGTGGGGACTGAATGAGTCAACGCACATGACGGGCTTGGTGTGGCGCCTGACCCACGGCAGCAGCTGTTCTTACTAGTTCAGTGAAGAAGCCCTTTGTTGGACAAGGAAAACGGAAGCCCCGAGAGGTTAAGTGACTTGCCCAAGGTCACTGTCATAGACTGAAGAACGGCCCCCAAGTGTATGTCCAAGTCCCAATTGCGGAACCTCTGAGCATGACACTATTTGGAAAGAGAGTCTCTGTGGATGGGATTAAGTCAAGGATCTTGAGATGAAGAGACCATCCTGGATTACCCAGTGACCAGTGTCCTTATGAGAGACACATAGACGACAAGACAGACACAGGAGAGAAGGCCGTGAAGACAGGGACAGAGGTTGGATTGATGGAGTCAGGAGCCAAAGGGATGCCTGGGGCCACTAGAAGCTGGTAAAGGCAAAAATGGATTCTCCCCTGGAGACGTCGGAGGGCGCACAACCCTGCGGACACGTTGATTTCAGATTCCAGCCTCCAGAACCGTGGAGGATAAGTTTCTGGCAATCTGTTAACGCAGCCTCGGGAAACTGGTCCGGTCGCTCAGCCTGTGGGAGCAAAGAGCCAGACTCTTGATTCTAATTATCACTTGATTTTTAAAAAATTCTTTATTGGAGTATAATTGCTTTACAATGGTGTGTTAGTTTCTCTTTATAACGAAGTGAATCAGTTATACATATACATATGTTCCCTTATCTCTTCCCTTTTGCATCTCCCTCCCTCCCACCCTCCCTATCCCACCCCTCTAGGTGGTCACAAAGCACCGAGCTGATCTCCCTGTGCCATGCGGCTGCTTCCCACTAGCTATCTACCTTACGTTTGGTAGTGTATATATGTCCATGCCACTCTCTCGCTTTGTCACAGCTTCCCCTCCTCCCCCCATATCCTCAAGTCCATTCTCTAGTATACCCCTAGGTTCTTCATGACATTTTTTTTTTCTTAAATTCCATATATATGTGTTAGCATACGGTACTTGTCTTTCTCTTTCTGACTTACTTCACTCTGTATGACATACTCTAGGTTCAAGTTGTATTCATGTGAATAAAAACCAGCTTCAACCCCAGATACAATGAGAGTTCCGGAGGCAGGTTCTGTGATCCCCTTTTAAGATGGGGACACTGAGGCCGGGTTATCACTTGCCCATCAATATGTCACACACCCATCAATATGGGGGAGTGGGAGACTGGGACGTGTGAGCCCAGCTGTCTCCTTCGGGACACACTGGCTCATTAGATTTACCAGCCCCCGCCTGAGAAAGTATTTAATTTGCCTTTTACAATGCACCAACTGCATGTTAATTAACTGGTAATTGAAAGTTATAGGTGGCATTAGAATTTATTAATAACATTGGAAATCAATCTCCCTGGAATTCAAGTAATTGCAAATCTCATGAAATTCTCTTTTTTTTATAGTCCATAAAACAGGTCTGGCAGTGAGGTGTTCCAGAAACCTCGAGATAGCTGGGATTGCAGGTGTGGGATTGCCAGTGGGGAGGAGGCTTCTGTTCTGACCTAGGACCATCTTGGATGCCCACCTGGCCCCCTACCCACCACCTCAGTCACTGTCTCTGGGGTCTGGGAAGGAGTCCCTCTCCTTTGTGAATGTCCTGTGACTCACTGCAGTGATCAGAGCTGGGCACTGGGGATGCACGTGTGACCCTGCCCACAAGAAGATCACAGCCGAGTGAGTGACGTGGGGTGGGGGGTGGAGCTGTGAGGGTGTCTTGTTGATCCAGGAAGGTGAGGGCTTGTGCTGGGGGACCCCAGTAGCACCTGGACCACCTCTGGCTGGGGCCCAGAGCCAGAGTTAGGTAGCTCCTGCCCATCCAGCAGGAGAATAACCCCCTGTGTGTCTTTGGGACATGCCAAGTGCAGGACGAGAAGACTGTGCCCCCAAGCGCCCTTCCCCCCAGCCTGGAGGGGGCCAACCTCGCCCAGTGCATTCTGGGAAAAGAGATACAGGTGACCTCTGAACCCCTGGGGGTCAGGCGAGTGTCTGATTAATTTCCAGCCTCACCCTGATTCCCTCCTGGTCCCAGGAAATAGGTCACCATGTTCTCTTGAGTTCCAGTCCCAAGGCGGTGCAGCAGGAAACATGGGGTCCTATTGGAGTGCCCACAAGGAACCCCAGCCTGGGCTCACCAGGGCTTCTGGCCCACTTCTCAGCTTTTGACCATGACCATCCAGCGCCTCCATCCGGCTCCCCATCCCAAGGCAGCACGTCAGCTGTGAATTTCTGCCTGAGGTCAGGATGTGCCCCGAGCAGTGGCAAAGCGTACCCCCTCAGCCCCGGCTCTTGCCATCAGCTTCTCATTGCCGCGTCGGGAGAGATGTTAAAAATATTTTATGATCCATATGGCACAGGATCCCACCCATCAGAACAGGTCCTCTTCCTAGCACTGGAGCGGGGTCCTAGATTCTGGGGAGGCTACGGGAGGGGTCAGGATGGTGGGGGGCATGTGAGGAGCTGGGTCCATCAGCACAGGGGTGTTTCGATATTTTAACTACAGGTTTCGCTGCCCCAGTGGGAGCTACTGAAGATCAGCCCAGCCTGAGTCCCCTCCACGCTCACTGTGGCCACCACATCCGGGCACTTGCCAGAGTCACCATCTGACCAAGGGGATCCTGAATTTCTGCTTTGGCTGGTGGCTGACTAAGGGGTCTGGCGGGGGTCCCTGGCTATGAGTTCAGGAGCTGCATCCAGGTCCCACACCTGCCCTGCCCAGGAGACCCTGGGGACCCGCCCACGGAAAGGGGGGCCTGAGCCGGGGCCCTGCCTGAGCCTGTGCCCTTCAGATCCTTGCTTCCCTGGGCTCAGCTAGGCAGGAGGGTGAGGAGAAGAGGGTCCTGCAGACTAGGGCTGCTCAGGATTCCGGGGGAGGTGGGTCTGGAAGGGAAGGTGTTAGTAAAGAGTTCTCAGTCCCTGTCCTGGTTTGATCCGGACACTGGGGCACAGGAGAGAAGTGTGTGCGGGAGGCATTGCCTGGAGGGAGGCTGGGTGTGCCCTGAGGCTGGCTGGAGGATGTAGAACAGAGCAGACTTGAGGGAGGAGACAGGGAAGGGAGTGAGGGGAGGCGAGGCCAGGGGGTCGGCCTGAGCCAATTCTCCCTCCTTAAGCCCCTGGGTGGACCCTGCAGGTGGGGCTGGGGTTAGGAGCTCAGAGATGCCCGTCCCCTGCACTGGGCTGACCCTCATGAACCCCGTGCCCAGGAGCCGCAGGGAGAGGGGCAGTTGCAGGCAGAGGACGGTGCCTGGCCCTGGAAGCCCAGTCATGGATCCTAGGGGCGCTCTGAGCAACGCACCCCACCATCTGAACCCATCTTGGGACCTGCAGGCTGAGCAGGTTAGGGCTTCCACACATCAGCACAAAGACGCTCATGGTCACGACAGAACCAAGGACCAGAGGGACACAGCCCAGCTGTCAGGCTGCAGGGGTCAGAAGAGGTGATGCGTCTGAGGCCTTTGCCCAAAGCCAAGAGCTGTGCTCCCGATGGGGCTGTAAGTGCCGGACGCCCCAGGCACCCCCTGCTCTCTCCCACGTCCTGCAAGCACCAAGCGCTGGCCTTGCGGGGCACCAGCACCCACAGGCTGCACAGAGACGGGACCAGGTGGTGGGTCTCTTCTGCAGCCGGCAGCCAGGAGGATAGAGGCCCGGATGATGGCACCAGGTTGCAGAGCCCAGGCTGGGGACCAGAAACAAGGGAGCCACTGCAGATTCATGATTAAGGGGGGATGCTGCCAGGCTTGCATTTCAGAAAGATCGATCTACCATCCAGATGGAGGGGAGAGGCCAGACTGACAGCGAAAACCGGCCACAGCAGCCCATCCCCTCCGGGTCAGCTTCTCCCCCTCCAGTGTTTAGGGTCCTCCAAGACCTGGCCCCTGGCATCTACTTCAGTCTCCTGTGGGAATTCTGTCTGCTCATCATCTACCTCTGACCTTTGCTCACACTTGCCCAGCCCGGCAGTGCCGTCCCTTGGTCTCTTGGTGGATGTGAACTCCTCTTCCTTCTAGAACCACTCGCTGGGAGGCTGTGCAGGGCACAGCTCCCCTGACTTCTCCAGGTCCACGAATCCTGGTGCCCTGGAGGCTTGGCCTGTCCGCCCTGCTGGCACGAGCCCCCCTTGGACATTGGCTCCCTCCTGAACACCTTCTGCTCCCAGTGGCTCTGAGATGGGCCTGGGAGCACCTGGACATCCAGTCCTGGGGGAAGGGTCACTCCAGACTCTGCCGGCCCCCAACCCAGGCCTGCCCCGGAAAGTGCAGGGTCCAGGGCCAGGGTACAAAGGGAGGCATCGTACCTCTAAATATTTAAAACTTATATGTTCAGCTAATCAACTGTTAAAGAAAAGATGCTCTACACTCCTACAGTGACAAATATCCTTTCGAAGGACCAGGAAGGCCAGGTTGATTTCAGGTTGTGACCTTGCAGAGTTCTGCACTGGCCCGTGATGGCCAGGGCAGAGCCAGGCCCTTGCCCTTTGAACCATCCCACGCCGCCCACTTGCTTCTGTTTGCACTGAGGGGCTTTGTGTGTGCACGTGGACACGCACCCTGCCCGCCTGTGCTCAGTCTACACCTCCCCACCTCCAAGCAGCAGCCCCTGATCTAAGGACACTGATGCCTGTGGGGTCTGCCCTTGAGACATTCAGGCCATGGGCTGGGGGCCGCTGGGGCAGCAGATTTGGGGTCCTGGGTAAGGCAGGACAATCTCTCTTAGGGCCCCCCGTCTGCCACTGGCTCAGCGAGAACGAGATGCCTCGTGTCCTGCTTCACTAAGGGGTGGGGGGGCTTAGCTTGTCAGATGGCATCGGTCCTCGCGTAGCCCCAGGAGGTGCACCGCTCCGTGAATGAGGCTTCACCCCACAAAGAGGGGGTGCTCTGGGCAGAGAGGGCTCCACTGTCACTAGATGTGGGCCTTCCGGGGACGGCCTCCTGCAGCACCGGTGGGTCGCCGCGGCCGGGCTCGGCAGCAGCTCTCAGCAGCCATCACTAGGTGTTCTTGTTGGGTAATGGGGTGGGTGTCCCCATCTGCGGGAAGGCATTCCTTTATTAACAAACTGACGTCTCATCGGGCCAGGGGCAGGGGGCACCAAGCCCGAAGCTTCCGGCTGGGAACACAGGGTCTTGCAACGGGAAGGGGGCTGCCATCAGAGCAGAGCTCCCCTGGGTCCCCTCATGTGCGGTGGGGTGGCCCCAGCAAGGGTGAGCTCTGGCTGGACACGGCCTGCAGGAAGCCCTGGGTGGCATTCAGCCAGTCTCCCACCTCGGCTGAGGGCTCAGGGGAAGGTCCGAGATGCTGGGCCCCCAAGTGGATGAGAATGTCCAGGACCCCAGGCCCGGGGCAGGAGCACGGTGGGTAGGGGTCCCTTTGCCCAGAGCCCTGAGCCCTCCCCACTTCACTCTCCGTCTAGCAAAGCTGGGCCCAGGCCCAGCCCAGATGCAGCGCTGCTGGGTAGAGGATGGGGAGCCTCTGAGGGGCTCCCCTCGCTCTCCCAACCCCCCATGGGGCTCCTGGGGGGCAGAGCCAGGCCTCCCTGCCTCAGGGCCTTGTGGTCACTTTGGCTCCCAGGGGCTCCCGTCGGACACCCCTGGGGCTGGGCCTGGCCGAAGCTGACCCGGCACAGCCAGCCTCCCCAGCAGCCGCCGCCACAGGACACCAGAACACAGCGGGGAGAGCACCTTTATTGTCAGAGGGTTACAGGTTTCCCGCCGCCTCTGACCGCCCCTCCGTGAAGACAGGCCTGCAGGAAGCCACATCTTGGCTCCCACACGGCCAGCCCTGCCTCAAGGGGGGCAGTCGAGGCCTCAAGGGCAGGGAGAGGTTACCAGGGCCCGGAGGGACCAGGCCACAGCCTCCCCGGTGCAACAAGGGCGGTGGGGACGAGTCGCTCCTGCCACGAGGGGAGATGCACCTGGGGTGGCGCCAGCACCTGTGAATGTCTGAGTTTGTGGCCGTTGCTGAGACAGCAAGAGGAGCACGAGGGCCAGCCCAGGGCACAGGGGACCCGATACCGGAGAGGCCTCGAGCGCTGTGCCTTGAGAGCTGCTCTGGGGCACCGGGGACCTGGGTGTCTGCTGCGGAGCCTGGCTGGGACCACAGCGCCGAGCGTGGGAGCATCTCTCTCCAGCAGGGCCTGGGAATCAGGCAGCAATCCCTCTTCCTCCTTGGGACACAGGACTTGCTGTGTAACGCAGAAGTGGCCAACCCTGCAGCTTCCCAGAGAGCCTGGGAGAGGGCGGGGCTGCAGGGATGGCCCCTGGAGGGTGCACATTTGCATTAAATCCTGCCTCCTCCCAGCTCAACGGGGTCAGGGAGATTGGGATGCGGCGGTGGGCAATGCCAATTCAGTTTGAGGGTCCTTGCACCCCAACGCTCCTCTCTCACGGTCTCCAAGTCCACGTGACTGTTTTGGGTTTATTCAAGGTCTCCCTGGCCTCCAAGAGCAGCTACAGGCCAAGCTGCTCCCCAACCCGTGGAGCAGACCCCGAGCCCAGGCACGGGAGTCGAGGAAGGAGGCCCAGGGCCCCCGCTGTCTTGTGCTGGGCAGGGCCCTGCCCTCCTTCCCCGCTGGAGCCTCAGCAGCCGCCCGGCCCGACACCCGCCCTGAGTTTCCCCGTGAAGAGGGGAAGCTGGCACGGTAGAGAGAACATGGGTTCAAACCCTGCCCCAGCCATCCATGGTCTGGGGGCCTTGGGCAGGTGAGTTATCCTCTCCAAGCCTCTGTCCCCCGTGTAAAGTCGGGATAACAAGCCTACCTCCTAAGGGTTAAATGAGACAATGTAGGGAAGCTCCTCGGACAGGCCCGAACGATGCAGGGACCCAGTAAATGATGAGTATTACGACTATTCTCACAGCCCACCCGGCCCACCAGACTCCGTCTCCAGCAGGGAGTGCCGGTGAGGAGGGAAGGGACCAGGGCAGGGCTCTGGCCTCAGGCCCCCGCCCCTGGAGCTGCCATCTGTCCCCAAGGCCCCCAGCCCCCAGGAGCCAGTGTTCCTGACGATCGTCCAGGCCTGGAGCCCGGTCCCACTCGGGGTGTCCTCAGGTGCCAGTGGCTGCACAGGCCCCGGGGCTGGGTCTCTGGCGGAGTCGGGGCTTGTCCTGGAGCGCTGGCCTCTTACTTCCCGCTGCTGGCCCGGCCAGCGCTCCTCTGCCCAGGGTCGGGGACAAGCAGGGCAGCCAGGGAGCCATCGGGTGGGGGGCCACCACGCTTCATCTTGAGGTTGGCTCTCAGAGCGGCGTCCTGGCCGGAGCCCCCGTCAGGGGAGGCCAGGGGATCTGGAAGGAGAGCAGGAGGGTGGGCTTGCGCAGGGCCTTGGGAGCAAGCAAAGCACCTTCACTTCCAGCCCCGCCAGCAACGGAAGCTCTGTGCCCAGTGAGGACACGACAAAGCAGCAGCTGGCTTCTACTCCTCACGCATCCATTCACTCACTCATTCATCCATTCATTCGTACACTCATTCATTCATTCATCCACTCATCCAGGCGCTCATTTCATTCTCCCATTTGCTCATCTATCCATTCACCAATTCACTCATTCATCCACTCATTCATCCATTCTTCAACAAATGCTAACCAGGGCCAGGCTCCAGGCCCTGCAGAAGTGCCAGGGAGAGACATGGAAACCTCACCCCATAAGGGAACAGAAGGTTCAGCAGAGAGAGCTTGGTGGGGAGACAGGAAGGCGGCTTCAGGGAGGAAGAGATCCCGGAGCAGGTCCCGAAGTGGGAGCTGGTGTCCAGGAGGCCAAGGGACCAGCCTGAGCAAAGATGCCGAGGTGGGAAAGGGCCTGGGGTAACCGGATGACGGCTGTGTGTCACTGGACACCAGGCCATGCTGGGGAGGGACTTGGGACCTGGATGTCGGTCACGGGCAGCAGGGAGCCACGGAGGGTCCTTGAGCGGGGGTGGGACAGGGCCAGACTGGCAACCAAGTGAGGGGCCCCTGGGGCAGGGAGAGCAGGCACCAGAGGCAGCACCACGAGGGCGGCAGGGAGGCGGAACAGAGGGAGATTCGGACTCGGCGGCCGCCTGTGGGCCTGCCTGTCCCCAGGTCCTGGTCACCACGCACCGTGGACCCCAATCATGTGCTCCAGGATGAGGACCCTCTCGGCCAGGATCTTCAGCGCCTCCCGCAGCTGCTGCACCCCCTCGCCCTGGGGGGAGGAGGCAGCCAAGGTCAGGGCCATCCGGCTTCAGTGTACTGTCCCAGCCCTCCCCACGCCCGCCACTTCCCTCCTGCCCCCAACATCAGTACAACAGCCATCATAGGGCGGGCATCCCGGCGCCAGGGCTGGGGTTCGAATTACTATTCAGAGACACGGAACTTGACGCACAGAGAGGGTAACCAGAGTCCTGTGGCCACACAGCCTGGAAATGGCCGACCGGGGCTTCACACCCAGACCTGTCTGCCTCCAGCCTGGGCTCGTCCTGCTCCCATGGCTGCCTGCTGCTTCCTCTGTGTGCCCTTCTTTCCAGAAAATACTCTGCTGTGGGCAGAGCACCGAGTACGGGTCCACGGGTCGGGGGTGCTTTGCCTGTCTCCTTCCTGGCACTGCCCACCCGAGAGATTTCCAGGGTGGTCACCCGGGCAAGAAAAAGAGAGGGCAGAGCCACGGCTTCTGGAATGCCAGCAGGAGGATGCGATGATGGCACGTCTGCTTTCTGGGAGCCAGCCTACACACGGGCGAAGGACCTCGTGTGTCGAGACACGTGAATGAGCCGATTAATCGAGAAGACAGGTGACAAGGCCACTTTGAAATAAAAAGTGATGGTGGAGAGACAAGGCCCTGCCCTGGAGTCAGCAGCAAACAGGCATCTTTGGCTGGTAGAACATGACAGCTCTGTCATGACATTCAGATTAATTTAGCTTAAAACAAAAGAAAACCAAAAGCATGCTACTGAGTTACAAGAGAGAGGCCTTCCCACCACAGGCCGTGAGAAGCCGGGCTGTGGGTGGCGTCTGGGATGGGGGTGTCCCAGCTAGGAGCAGGCGGTCCAGGCCCCCTCTGTCAGGACCCGGCTAAGCCTCAGTCCCTGGGCCACAGGATGCACGCCGATGAGATGGGCCGGGGGAAGTCGTGGGTATCCTCTCTGTCTCCCCATCACAAGTGACCCCCGCATCCACATCTTCCACTGCCTCCTGTGCCCACCACGGTTGCCCTGATTCCAGCCTCTTCCCCCTTCTCCAGTCCCGCAAGGACCTCTGGAATGTCCCCTGGCCCCAGCTTCACCTCTCCAGCCCAGCCCGCCTCCCGCAGCCGTCCGCCTCCAACCTCTGCAGGTACCCCCGCCCCCGGCTTAGAGCCTCCCTCAGCTCACTCAGCTGTGTGCCCACTGAGCTGGCCAGCCCGCTGCGCCCTGACACTCCCGCGGGGCTCATTCTCAGCTTGCAAGACCTCCCTGCTGGCCCTGCTGCCTCTGCCCCTTATCCATCACCCTGGTCCCCAGCCTCCTCTCCTGGTCCCCGAAGGCGTGGTTCCCCACAGCCATGCTCGCGCTCCATCTGTGCCCCCTCCCCATCCCATCTTGCCCTGGCCCCTGTGTGCTCCCAACCTCACTCTTTCATCGTCCTCTCCCACATCCGCATGCCCGTGGATCCTTCAGTCCACCACAGCGACCTTGGGCACACCCGTGTGCCAGGTGCTGTCATGGGAGAGTCCTGTCCCTGGAGAGGGACGCCACGGCTTGAAGCCTCCTTAAAAGAAAGGTCTTTTCTGCAGGTCCGTGGTTCCTCCGGCCCTCTCCGGCAGGGTCTCCCCCCGACTCAGGCCCCAGGCCGGTCACCCCATCTGTGCTACCCCATTGCAGCCAACTTCACCCTGTGCTGTAGTCGCTATTCACTCAGCTGTCTCCCCCGCTGGGCGGGACCCCCTTCACCCCGTGACTGATGCCCAGCTCAGGGCTGACGGTGTCAGTCCGGCTCTGTTGGGTACCCGCTCTCCTGCTGCGACACAGCCAAAGGGCAGGAGGGAAGCACGGGCCCAGGGGCACAGTTACCTCGGCGGTAGCTTTCTCTTCCTCTTCCCCCTTGCCGCCAGGCTCGCCCTGGGAAGAAAGTCGTGCAGTCAATGATGGGTGTGGGGTGGGGCACTTCTCCACCCTCCCCAGCTTCTCTCCCTGGGCACCCCTGCACAGCCTGGCACAGGGTTGATTTTAGGGGCTTAATTCTGTTTCTAGGGAGGGAGGAGTCAGGTTTGGAACCCCAGGAGCTCAGGTGTTGGCCCTTCTAGGGATCACGTTCCCTGCATCTCAGATCTCTGCTTCCCTGACTCTAAAATGGGGCCAGTAACATCAGCCTCACAATAACACCTAGGTGGCCACTTACTCCTGTGTGACCTTGAGCAAGTTACCTTACCTCTCTGTGCCTCGATTTTCCCATCTCCAAAATGGAGGTAATAATAGCCTCATAGAGCTATTAGGAGGATTAAATAAATCAATCTCAATAATAAGCTTGGAGAAGGCATGGCTTTGGAGGCTAACACTCCTGCATTTAAATCTTGGCTCTACCGTTGCCTAGCTGTGTGACCTTGGGCAAGTTGCTTAACCTCTCTGAGCCTTAGCTGCCAGTTGTGGCAAATAGGGAAAATAAAGCACTGTCTCATGGGGTCACTGTGAAGCTTAAACACGCTATGGATGAAGAGGGTTTCCACATAGAAGATGCTCAGCAAAGATCCACCCCTTTGCCCCCAGCCCCATGCCCCTGACGTAAGACTTGGGCACGAAGGAGGTACCCACCTCCTTGGCCCTGGAGATAGGGGCTGAGACTCATGAATTCTTATTTCCAAGAGGGGAATTAGAGGTCAGCTATCTATGTCTCTATTCCTAGAAGGTTCAGAGAAGGCAAGGGACTCTGCAGGTCACACAGCACATTAACCCAGGGGCCTGGGCTCCCTGGAAGGGACCTCAGGACTCTCATCCAAGCCTTGCAACAGGAGGCTATTTCAGTCCTTACTTCATACGCTCAGCGAGGGGCTCCCACCTCCCGAAGTCACCCCTTCTCAACTTGGGCAGCTGGCACTGCACCCAGGTTGCCCGTTTCTCTCCCCCTGCCCCATCCTGGCTGGGCTGGATCCGGCCATGCCTGGGGAAGCTGGGGGGCTGAACTCAGCCAGGCCGCCTGGGGCAGACGCCCGCCCACCTGGTACCCTGGGCCTGCACCAGAGCCCATCGTCCTGGGGGTGGCCCATCCACACAGCCCCACACTTACAGGCTGCCCTGTCACACCCCGCTCTCCAGCCAGGCCCTGTAGAAAATCAAACAAAGTAGATTAGGCTTTGCCTGCCCTTGACAACCTCTCAGTCCTCCGCTGGCCCTCCCCCTGCACTGGGCTCTGGAAATCTGAAAAATGGATGCGAGGAGGAGGGTGGTGCAGAGGAAACACGAAGGCCACAGCCGGGGGCCTCCCCAGTCCTGGCGCCCCCGCCACTGGCCTGTGAAATGGGGCAATGCCAAGTATGGTTATCACTCGGAGAAGGGGACCAGATGGCAAAGCACACATCCCCCCAGCACACGAGAGAGGGGTCCTCAGAGAACGAGTGGCAGCAATGGTGGTCGTGAGGGTGCCTGCGTGGACTCCCCACCAGCGCTGATGCCCAGCCGGAAGGCTCCCCGGGGCCCCAGGCCTGTGCATCCAGCCGTCCTCCAACACCCTTCCCCGGCCAGCCAGGAGATGCCCCCCCTCAACTTCTCCAAAGTGGAACTCCCTGTTCCCCCTCCAGACCCACCCCCACCCTGCAGTCTCTCCTCTCAGAAACGGAAACGGCTCCACGGTCCCGCAGCTGCTCCCACACACACCTTGGAGTTAACCTTTCCTTTCCCTCCCTCACCAAATTTATTCCATCAGCCAGACCTGTCAGGTTCACTTTCTAAGTATGTCTGTTCACGTTGCCGTTTCCTCTGCGCTGCTGTGGCCTCCTCCCTGGTCTCCCTGCCCCACTGCCACCTCCCCCCCCTTCCATCCCTCCCTCAATAGCCAGAGGGGCCTTGGAAAGCTGTAAATCAGGTCACGGACTCTCCCTCCCTGAACCTCGATGAGTCCCCTTTCCACTGTGACCCAAATCCACACATCAGCCCTGCAGGTAAAGCCCTGCCCACATCCCCACCTCATCTCACCCCACGCTCTCCTCCGCTCAGTATGCGCCAGGCGTTTCCCTGCTTCAAGACCTCTGCACCTGCCCTTCCCTCGACCTGGAATGCTCTTGGCATCTCTGTAGGACTTCCGGTTCCTCGGGTCTCAGTCGGAATGTCACCTCCTCCTATCTGTCACCCCCTCCTGTCACCATAGGTCCTTTCCCAGTTATTCTCTATCACGTCTGCCTCCTGCACTAGACGATCAGCTACCGGAGGGCAGGGATCCCCACGTCCTTGTTCCTGTGCCCAGTACAGTGTCTGAAGCAACTGAGGCCCCAGGACATACATAGTTAATGAATAGCATTCATTAAGGGTCTCCGAAGAGCCTGGCATTCTCCACCTGTTTTCCCCATTATTTCTCACAACGAACCTACCCAGAAGAGATTTTTATCCTCATTTCTCAGATGGGGAAACTGAGGCCCAGGGGCTCAGGGACTTGTTTAGGGTCACCCAGCTGGAAATTGGCAGAACCAGGCTTCAAACCCAGGGCTGTCCGTCCTACTCGAGAAAGTCGGGACCACGTGTTCCCCTGTTATTGTCCCTTCTCGCTCTTATTTGACCCCTGACTAGGAGACATCCCTCCCCACAGACCGCCAATTCTCAGAGGCCTCGACTCCTTGGCAAGGATGGAGACAGAGACTGGGTCATCAGACTGGCCCCACCATCCACAATGAAGCCACAGTCCAGCCCACCTGGTGGCCATTCTGACATTGTCAATACTGGGACGATGGAGCCTTGGAACCCAGCTCCATCCCTGCAGTGTAGGGGCCTCGGTGGGTCCTGGCAGTGGGTCCTGGAAGGGGGCTCTTCGACACCTGTTCAGTGGGCCCTGGGGAGCCAGGGCCATGCCGGGAACTGTCTGGTGCCCCTGGCATCCCAGCCCTGGCTACAGACCCTCAGGTTTAAGGAAGGACCACCGCAAGGAGGAAAGGGGCCAAGATGCCGCCAGCCTGAAGACGCCCCAGGCTGGTGCCCGGTCATGCCGCCTCGAGCGGGGCTGGACGCGCAGCTCTGACTTGGTCCCCTTGAACCTGTTGGAATCTTGCAGGCCCTGGGTCCCCACAAGGCTGCTGTGGGCACGGTCTGCACAGCCACCCAAGGCAGCCCTGCCCGCAAGGGCCTGGAAGACCCTAAAAATCAACCAGCCGGCAGGATCAACCACCCCAAAGCACCCACTGCATTCTTGGCACTCTGCTGTCTGCTGTGTGACTCTGGCAGGTGACAGAGTCTCTCTGAGCCTCCACCGCCCCATTGCTGGGATAGAATGATGGGATCCCTTCGCATCACTGACCTGCCCTGTCGCTGTGCGCTTGGGCCTCTGGAGGAGCCCCACTGCCCCCAGCCCTTCCCATGAGAGTATCTGTTGGCCTTTCACACGCCCCCCTCCCCCTCTTCCTGCCCTTTTGTCAGGGCTGAGCAGGCCCAGCCTGAAGGGAGGAGGGAGCCCCCAGCACCAGAGAAGCAGGAGAGACCGCGCTGCTGGCACAGGGCTCCTGGCGTGTGGAGCTCGGCCAGACGCCCCCTGCCAAGCTCCTACAGCTCCCGGGGCCTCTCCGACCCTCACCGCAGTCCTGTCACTGTCATTCTCTCTCACCCGCCCCCACCCCTTCTCTCTGGGGCCCGGGCCTGTGGCTGGGAGCCTGAGGGGCCAGGAGGGTGCTCTGGGGCACCCAGACCCCTGGCTAAGCTGGCCACCCCACCTGACTCAGGGGCAGATCAGGTCTGAGGGCCTCCTGTCCCCGCTGCAGCCACCCCCTCCCCCAGGCCCCCGCCTGCCGGCCTGGTATGTACCACACCCACCCTGGCTCTGCCCTACGCCGTGCACCCCACTGGCCCTTCTCCTCCACGCTGCATCCTCCTGGTGTGAAAACATGAGGGGGACAACAGAGAGAGATCAGGAGCCGTGAGACACTGGTTCTTTGACGTCTAGAACATGTGCTCTAGAGGGCTGGGCTGTGGCCCCGGGCTCCGGCTGTGTCCTCGGCTGGCGTGGCTGGTGCCCTCCCTGTGTCTGGGGAATATTTGTCAAATGTCTAAAGGGATTAATGAATGTGTGGGACTCCTGAGGTCCCAGCACCCACAGGGCCAAGGCCCGGATCCACCTCCCTTGCAGTGGGAGCAGGGGCACCTCTCAGCCACTCCACCCCACCCGGGCCTGAGTTCCAGGGACCTCGGAGCCCTCGGTCTGGACAAGGCCCAGGGGAGGGGCTGCAGGAAGCTCCATGCAGACATCCCCAGCCGCCACCCTTGCTGCCTCCACGTCCAGGACCCTCCTCTCCTCCACGTGACCTCCCCCCCCAGGCCCCTGGGCCCCTGCGGCACAAGGCACATCCCCCCGGCAATTTATTTCTCTTTCACTCCCTGTGACAATCCACCAGGGAGGCCCTGTACACCCCGTCTTAGCACCTGAGGAAGCCGGAGCCCAGAGAGGCTACCTTTCTGCCCGAGGTCACACAGCTGGGAGGCAGAGCAAGCTGGGGTTCCGGGCCACACAGTCAGGTGTCAGAGTGGCCCCCGCACAGGCAGGTCTCCTTGAGAAGGGGCCACGGGCTGGGGTGGACGTTCTGTGATCCTGGCCCAGCTCCACCACACCCTCTGGACGACCTCGAGTGGCACCTGGGTCTCAGCTCACTGATGAACCGGGAGCCATGTTAGCACCTCCCTGGCGTAGGCGGAGTGAGCAGCAGAGGGTCGCTGCTGCTAACAAAACCAGGGCCCCACGCCTGCCTTCCCCTGGGGCCCGCCTGGACCCAGGTGGGGACCGGCCAAGTGGGCTGGCTCCTTCCTGAGCAACTGTGCTGGTAAGAAACCTGGCTCCTCCTTTCCTGGCGAGACAATGTCCCCTCCCTTGCCAGAAATGGGAAAGACCTTACCTGGGATCCTGGTGCACCTGGGGGTCCAGGGGGACCGTGTGGTCCAGGGGGACCTGCCGGCAGAGTCACAGATGGTCACCTGGGGCCAGAGAAGCCCACTGCCCCCATCAGCTCTGGAGAGGACCTTCCCACCCTCCCACCCCAGTCCCTGCCCTGGGTCTGTCTCCATGGGCAGCAAAGGAAGGTGCGGTGAATGAATGGTGGAGGAGGGGGGCACCCGCTCCCTTGGCCTCCCCTGCCGACCGCCAGAGCAGAAAGCCCACCTCCACCCACTCTCCCTGCAGCCCTGACACCACAACCAGAGCCTCATCCACGGGGCCACCCCACAGCCCCTCCCCAGCCGGCTAGTCCTCCGGCAAATCTCGAGTCTCTCCCTCCTCGGGACCTCAGACCTGACCCCTGTGAAGCCATCCTTCTTGCCTGGGTTACTGCTGCCTGACCATCTGCCCTCCACGCAGCCCCCCAGAGTGACCTTTCAAATAGGTCCCTCTCAGCCCAGCCTCCTCCACCTTCATCAGTCAGATACCCCCTTCTGGAAAGTTCCTCTGCATCCGTGCCTTTGCCGATGCTGTTGCTTCCTCCTGGAGCTTCTCCAACCCCTCCACACCCCAGCAAACTCTTTGCTACTAGTCTCAGGCTAAGCGTCACCTCCTCCAGGAAGTCCTCCAGGAACCTACACCGCCTCTTCTCTAGGCAAAGCCCTGACAGACCAGCCGCCACCTCTGGCCACTGTCGGTTTACATGCCTGCCCCCCCACCACGGGCCAGGGAGTGCCCAGAGGGTCAGGCCAGGCCTGACGGGTGCAGCACAGGAAGTGGTGTTCCTGACTGAACTTCCCGAATGCTTGGAAGAGCGAGGCCTCCGTCCCCAGTGGTTGGCACAGGTCTGCGCCTCTTGGGCTGCTAGGCTGTACCAATGTGCCCCCGGCACGCTTAGGGAGGACCTGCAGGAAAGTGTACCCCTGGTGGGGTGACGATCTGGACTCAGTCTAGCTAAAGGACAAACACCCTCCCAGCTCACTCCCAAATACCACCTTTTAAATGGGGCCACCCCGGCCCAGCTGCTCGCCCAGCCCTGCTTTCTCAGACCCTGTGGGATTCACTGATAGTATGTGGGTACTGTTCGCCTTCTCCACTAGAATGTAAGTACCACGAGGATGGGAATCTTCGTTTGGTTTATTTAAGTATCCCAGGAACTTAGAACACTGCCCAGCTGAACAGTGCTCGGTGAATATTTCCTGAATTATGAGAGAGTGAATGAATGACAGAGAATGAGTGCCCGGGTCTGGAGCCCTAATCAAGAGGCGCCCCACCCGCCGGCCCCCAGGGCCTCTGTTGCTCGTTCATTCACAGGTAGAACCTGTCAGAGGAGACGTCCACACACCCGGGTGCCAGCCCCGCCCCACACTCCCCTCCTCCCCCAGCGAGGGTCCCATCCCGTCCCCTCCCCACACTCCCCTCCTCCCCCAGCAAGGGTCCCATCCCATCCCTGCCCCACAGTCCCCTCCTCCCCCAGTGAGGGTCCCATCCCATGCCCTCCCCCAGGGCCCTGCTCTCTGCCTGCAGGCCCAGGGCCTCCTGTCTCTTATGGGCACCTGCCCCACCAGCTCCCTGCGTCTCCCGCATGGCCCCCACACCGCCCGTGCAGACCCATGCCTCCCCATATCCAGAGCATCCCTGCTCCGGCTCACACGAGGGCAGCCCGGGGCTGCATCATGTGGGTGTCAGGCCTTGTTCTGGCAGAAACACTGTGTCCAGTCCCAGGGGAGCTGCCGCCGGGAGCAAGAGGCCCCACCTCAAGCCACTGCTGGCTGGGGCAGACCCAGTGCCCTGCCAAGGCCATGACCCCCAACTGGCCCCCTCAAGGCCCCTTGGTCCAGGCCAAGCCCAGGAGGGGTTACCAGTGGAGACCAGCCTGTGCTGTTGCCCTCTGTGCTCACCTGGAGGGCCGGGGGGGCCCCGGGGCCCTGGGACGCCCGCCAGCACCGTGTCCACGGCGGCAGAGGCCAGCTGCGCGTCTGCATCTGCGGGAAGGGCAGAGCGGCCCGTGACCTGGGGGGCAGGGCCGGCGGGGCTGGGGGGCTACAGCTGAGATTCCCCGGAGCTAGGATGGGCATGCCCGGCCCCGCTGGGCCTCACTGCAGCCCTGGTGAGCAGACGTCATTGCTCCCACAACTCGAGAGGAGCACACAGAGGCCAAATCAGAGGGCAGGGGAAGCCCCGTGGGCTCCATTTAAAGCACAAACTCCTTCCTGAACACTCCAGGCCCTTGACTCTGGCCCCACCTTGCTTACCACCCAGGCTGGACGCTCTTCCAGGGTCCACCCCACATACCCATCCTGATGTACCTGGCTAGCTCACGCCTGTGGGGCCTCCTCCAGGAAGCCCTCCTTGCCCACCCCTCTGAGCTGCAGGGCCCTGGGCTGCCTCCATCAGGGCCCCAGAGCCGGGTGGAGTCTGTGTAGTGGCCTGGGTCTCTCCAGGGTGAGCCCCGTGTGACTTCACCCTGCCCTATTCTCAGAGCCAGGACCAGACAGCCAGGCTTGGAAACGTCTGGATGGGGGTGGCTGCCTCTGCCTCTCCCTCCACTCATGGAAGCCTGGAGAGCCCTTCCATAGGCCTCACAGCGGTGGCCTTCTACAGGTTCTCAGTCCTGGCCAGCCAGGTGCCCCCACTGGGGCACCCCCCCACTGTCCCCAAACATTCACACCTGGGTCTTCCAGGAAAGCTGCCCTCCCTCGAGGGCCCCAGGGCTGGGGAAGGAGGGTCCTGTCTGAGGAGGGCTCCCAGCACTAGACGTGGCAGGCGGGCAGTGCCAGATGCAGGGCATCGCGCCCAGGCCAGGGCAGAGGCTGCAGCTCTCCTGGCCCAGGGGTGCCGGTTGCTGAGCCCTTAGACTCCCAAGGCACTTTACACGCATCATCCATTCTCCCCACTAGGGGGCACCACTGAGCCCACCGTGAGGGTGAGGCGGTTGGGCCGTCAGGGAGTTAACACTTTCTCCTGCCCCTGTACCCACTGAGGGCAGCCCAAGCCCCTCAGTCCCCTTGGGAATAAGCCCCTCCCTCATGGCTGGGGCCTGTGTTTTTTCACCCCCAGAGCAACTCCATCAGGATGTATTACCACCCCTCCTCTACGGATGGGGAAACTGAGGCTCAGAGCGAGACACAGGTCTTAACGCTCAGGGGAGGGCTATGCTGCCGCGGGGCGGAGGGGGCAGAAGCACCAGGAGGAGGGGCTTGGGTTTCTCCGACAGCCGACAAAGCGGTCCCTGGGATGTCACCCATTCAGAATTTCAAGTCAATCCTGCTTCTTAAAACCCTTCACACTCCCCAGGGCCCTTAACCAAAACGATGCCCGCCGTGGGCTGCCGGCCCCACCCCCACCCCCGTCCTCGGGGCCTTCCTGGAACCGCCCTCCCCGCGCGCTGGGGCGGCTGTGTGTGTGCTCAGAGGCGTCCTCTCGCGCTAGACTGTAGCCTCTGCAGGCAGGAGGCTGTTTTGCTCAAGGCTGTACGAGGCGGGCGGGTAAAAACAGAGTCCCACACGTCGTAGGTGATCCATCAACACATGTCCAGTGGCCTACAGTGAGGGGATTTGTGGAGAGGACATGGGGTAACGGATGACCCGAGGCCAGGCCAGAGAGCGGAGTGACCCGTGGGGGTCAGACCCCGGGGCAGGAGCTGAGCGTGGGTTGCCGCCCCACCCCGCGTCAGTCCCCCCCTGGCGACCCCGCCCCCCACTTGGCAGAGCCAAGGCTCCCCTCACTGACAGTCCGCTTGCTTCATGGGGTCCTCTGGGGAGGGCTGGTCCCCCCGAAGACAGGCTCAGGCCCGCCCTCCCGCCCCACCCCTCAGGCATGCCACTCACTGTCCTTGTCTGTCGGCGGCTGCAGGGAGTAGAGGACGCCTTGGGGGCCGTTTGGAGGGAGGCCTGGGCTGCCTGCTGGGCCGGGGGGGCCGGGGGGGCCGGGGCGCCCCATCTCTCCAGGAAGCCCACGGGGCCCTGGCGGCCCCAAGAGGCCTGCAGTGGGGAGGAGAGGAGTCACAGGAGGGCCGGGCCTCGTGGCTGATGTAACAGAGACGAGAAGCAGACCCTGAAGGGCACGGGGCTGGCGAGGGCCGGGGGTGACCTCCAGGCCCAGGGACACCCTGGAGGGCTCTTCCGGGAGCTAATAACATGAATTCCCCTTCCCAGCCCAGTGCACAGGGGACCCGGGGCAGCTGCATGGGAGGTGAGGGAGGCAGGAACCACAGAACCAGTGGGGGCTCCGGCCAGATGCCCTCTGCCCGCTCCAGGGACCTCAGCTCTGGGGAAGGGGCACCAAGGGTGGCAGCCAGCCTGGGCCAGCCCTGTACCTGCCCTGACAGAGACCAGGAGGAGCTGGGTGGTCTCTGGAGGTGTTGTTTACATGGCTGAGCACAACCCCCAGCCCCCAGGAGCCCCCCCCGCCACGGAAACCTGCGCCCACAACTCCAGAAGCCTTCTCTTCCCACAGCCCGGGGTGAGACGGAGCCCTAAGGTGCTTGGGGTGAGGCTGCCGTAAGGGTGGCAGTGGGAAGAAGTGAGCCTGGAGCCCCCCAAGATGGCAGTCATTAGCCCCAGCAAGAAAGGGGGTGTCTGGGATGCCTCGCCTGCTCAGACAGGGGAGAAACCCCAACCCCCTTCCCCCAGTGGACAGAGTCAGGTCGGGATGTGTGGGGGGGTGTCCTTACCAGGAGGACCCGCTGGGCCCTTCTCTCCTGCCTGGCCCCGGTCACCTTTGGAGCCTGGGGGACCTGCAGGCCCTGGTGGTCCCGTCTGTCCCGGGGGCCCTGGGGATAGAATGAAATGAGGCCTGAGAACACTGTGGGCTGACCTGCCCCCCCGTGGCTCCAGGCTTGACCACCTGGGCTGTCCGGTCAGACCTGCCTCCAGGAATCCGGCCCACCTGGGGCCCCTCACAATGGGCAAAGGGACCATCACTAGCTCACATCAGTCATTACAGCTTGCAAACCATTTTTGTTCCTATTAAATTCTATGATCTCAAGAGCTACTTGTGTCCCCACTTGACAGATGGGAAAACTGAGGCTCAGAAAGGTGTGGCCCTTTGCTCAAGGTAGCAGAGCCAGGCTGTAAATGAGTCAGAATCCTCTCTCCGCGTCCTGCTGTCTCCTTGCTCAGGCTCAGGAACTGGGCTTCTGGCAAAGAGCTTCCCAATGAGGCCTCCTTAGAGACCCCAGGAAGCCCTGAAGGACATGCCTGCCCAGCTTCACGGTCTCCAGGCCCCACGGGTGGGCAAGAGTAGATGGAGAGGCCAGAGTCCCCCTGTGTGGCCTGGGGACAGCCCCTTCTCTCCCTCTGGAAGCCCTGGGCCTGGGGAGGATGCTCAAAAATGCCTGCTGAACTGATGGAGGCCCTGGAGCTGCCGGTTTCCAGAGAGATTCCCACCTGCTCGCGAGGATTCCAGGGTTCACCCAGGTGTCAGCATTTGTAGGGTTTGTGCTCCACTTGGTGGCCATTCTTTGGAACTGCACGTCCCGGTAAGAAGAAAGGTGCCCCAGGAGACCTGGAGCCCGTTCCAGCTTCCTCCCTCCCCTCCAGGGGGTGTTGGGGCCTGGGTCCTCCAGGGGATGAGAAGCCCCCCTTCCCCCCAGCCCCCGCTCCCTCCTCAGTCCCAGAAGAAGGATCTGAAGATGAGCATGGGGCAGCCCTCTGGAAATGAGACTTTGGGGAGAGTGGCTAGAGAGGTGCGGGGGGCAGGGGGGGGCCCAAAGTGAGATGCCCCCTCCTCTCATAGCAGGCCTAAGCTCACCCCTACACCCTGCCAGCCTCCAGAGACTACAGAATATCTGATGCTTCCCTGGCCCCCGGACTGGCTACTGGAGGCAACTCTCCCACTGCTGGGGGTCTACAGGCAGGGAAGGGGATGGAGCTGAGTCTGGGCAGGAGTGCTAAGAAGCTGGGGGCTCAACCTGGGGACAGGAGGAGGGAAGGTGTCACCTGCAAAGGGCTCCAGTGGGTCCGAGAATCACTGAGTCAAAATGGCCCTGGATCGCTGGGTGACCCCAGGGGTCACTTTTCGGAGCCTCAGTTCTCTCCTCTGTAACCTGAGCTTTACGAGTTTACTGGAATGATTAGCAATGATATCTGTACAGACTAGGGTGATATAAAAATATTTAATAACTGGCACAGCACGGTTACTGACCAGTCAGACAAGACCTCAGCCTTAAACCCTTGAGTTCAGCCACACAGACAGTGCCAGCTTACTGCCCAGGGTAAAGCCCCAATGCTTCTCCTGGCACGTGGCAGGCATTCAACAATGCTGACTACCAGTATTACAGTTATTATTACTTTCTGCAGTCCCAGGGGCAGAGCCCAAACCAATGGATAGAAACTGCAGAGAGAAAACATTTACCTCTGACTTCAAAGTGTGGTGGGAAGGGTGAAAACAACAGGTGACTGGATGTCTTCCAACTTGGGTCAGAGAGTTCAGAGAGGATCCCCCAGAAGGGGGGCAGTCAGTAAGCTGCCCGTCCCTGGTGGTATGCAGGCAGGGGCTGCTGTAAAATTGGATGGAGCTGGGCTGGGGGCCTAAGTGCGGATGCTAAGGGGCAGCAGGGAAGTCAGCGAGCACAGTAGCTGGACTGTGAGGCAATAAGGAATGGTGAGGACTGCGGCAAACTGCAGACCTTGAACGGGGTCTGCAGGGGCAGCTGTGACTTAGCTGCAGCCAATTGTTTCTCTTTCTTTAAATTTTTTTTTAATATATATTTTTGGCCAAACCACACGGCATGTGGGATCTTGGTTCCCTGACCAGGGATCAAACCCGTGCCCCTTGCATTGGAAGTGTGGAGTCTTAACCACTGGACCACCAGGGAAGTCCCAGCCAATTGTTTCTATTAAGAGACGGCCAACCCCAATGGCCAGATCTTCCATTTTTCTAAGAGAAGCGAGAAATCCTGGTTTTTATGTGAAATCCCCCCAGGTTTTAAACATTAGCTCAGTTTTGCAAAATACCACGTGGGCATGTATGACCTCCTTGTGCAGGCCCTGGGAGGCCATGCCTCCCCTGTAGGCCTCACTCACCGGCCGGGCCCGTGGGCCTTCTCCTTTGGGGCCCGGGGTGGGCGAGAGGGAGGGCGTCAGGGAGGAAATCCTCATTCCAGGGCGGTGGGGTGCTCTGGGGGGTTGGCAGGTCATTGTCTGGGCCTGAGGGCCGCTCTGCTGCTTCCAGAAGGAGAACCTGGGCCGGAAAAGGGCAGAGGGTCAGGCCCCGGCCAGGCCGGGGACACATGTGAATGGGAACGTGTGCCCCAGGAGACCAGCAGCTGCCCGCTGCTCTTGGGACCACCAGTCCCCTCGCTGGAATGTTCTCCCACCCCTGCCCCCCTCCCCTTCCCATTTCAGGAAGCCCTCCTGACCCTTGGGCTCAGGCAGGTCCCCTTTGGACACGTTCAGAGTCACCGTACTTTTCTCCTAGAGTGGCTGTCACTGGAATTAGACACTGGCTGTTGGAATAACGACCACGGTCACCTCCACTTCACCGGCTCCTCTCAAGGGAGGGACTGGGCCCGCCTGTCCCCCACACTGCCTGGCTCAGGGCACAAACAACGCAGTCAGGGAATGTTTGTGGATGAACGGATGGATGGATGGAGGGAGGGAGGGAGGGAGGGGCAGAGGGAAAGAAAGGGAAGGGGAAAGGAAAGGAAAGAAAAAAAGAAGAAGAAAGAAAAGAAAAGAAGGAGAAAAGAATAAATAAATGGGCCCAGCTTGACGCATGATATTTAGCAGGAGCTCCAGAGAAACAGAAGTGGCCGTGGTCACTCAGGGCCAGCCTGGAAAGCAACCTGTCCTCTCCCCTGGAGGAAAGCAGGGGTCAAAAACCGAAAGGACCCAGGGCCTCAGTGGGAGACTCTCCCTAATTCACGTGAACTGGGAGCCAGGAGGCCTCAGAGAGGCCCTGCTGTCCCCAAAGAGGCTAGCAGGGGGCGCTGCGTGCCCAGGATCTGCACAGGGCAGGCAGGCAGCTAGCACACGGTAGACCCCCCACCCCAGCAGAGGGGGCCTTGGGGTTCCCGGGCCATATCAGATGGAGCCCAGCTTCCTGTCCCGATCTGCCAGACAGGAAGGAAGAAGCCCAGTGTCTCACGTCCCCTCCAGCTCTTAGAAACCCGAATCCCGCGTCCTGCTAGAGTCTCCAACTCAGTGTGTGAGATGAAAGTGTTCTGAGTATGGAGCTGAGGGTGGGCCTGGCTGGGCACACCCCCGCCGCCCCCCAGGCCCCCCCCGCCCCTCCCATTAGAATCACTGGCGTCTAATTCCACAGGTTTTGCTGCCTGAAGGCATCCAAACTCCAGCCCCCCGGCCTATACCCCCCCCCACGCCCACCCCAACGCGGGAGTCCATACTTCCCAGAGGGCCTAACGGGCCCCCAGGCCTCTTCCAGTGCCCCTCCGCCTGCCTGTGGCCCTCGCTCCGCCCGTGATGTCCCCCCTCCCCAGGCCTGTGGCCTCAGGCTCTGCGACAGCCCTCTGCCTCCCCCACCTCCGCCTGCCCCCTCCCTCTCCTGCAGCCCCCGGTCCCCACAATCAACAGCAGTGCATGAGGACCTCCTGCAAAGCAACCCCCCTAAAAACCGCCGGTATCTCCACACACTTCGTACACAGGCGCCCGCCTTGGCCTCACCTGCGTCTCTTCCACTCCGCTCTGCTCCAGCTGCCCTGAACTCTCCCAGTGCTCCTCAAGCCCAAGACCGCCCCACCTCCAAGCCCAAGCTCCTGCAGGGCCCTCCACCAGCCCTGCCCACAACCCCGACCCCCGGAAGATTCTGAGATCCAGTGAGCTGTCCCCTCCTCCCTGTGTCTGTCTGACCCTCTGGGCAGAAGGGGGGCCTCCCCTCCTGTGTGTCACCTCAGCTCCTGTACAATCACTTTGTGCCCACAGCCAGGGCGGCGGTGGGAGCAATGCCACCAGCCCCGCCCTCAGGAGTAGGGACCACCTGCGGAGGGGGCGCCCTCCTTGCTCTGGGTCCCCAGAACACAGCACAGGTTAAGTGCCATGTGATGGGGGAAGCTGAGACCCTGCTACCAGCCAGGCTGGTTTGAATCCCTGCTCTCCTACTAGGTGACCACTGTGTGACCTTGTGCAAGCATTGTGACCTCTGTGGGCCTCAGTTTTCCCATCAGCAAAATGGGGGTGATAACACTGACCCTGCAGGGCCACGGGAGATCGGGAGCGCTCAATACATGGGCAACCCGGTTAGTCCTGCTGATGCTGGGACGGTGGGGGGCGGGGTCACGGGAACAAACGGTGGCCTTCCCAGCGCCCAGGCCTGGCTGGCTGGGCTGAGGCTTTGTGGCTGTGCAGAAAGGGTCCCTCTGAGTGCCCCTCCCACCAGTTCTGCAGGGTCCTGGGGCCTGGATGACAGAGTCTCTGAGGACTCTTGGGAACAAAGTGGCACCCCTGCATCAGATCTCAGGTCCCCATCTGTGTTGGGTGCGTGGGTTCCTGACCCTTGAGGCTCTGGTGACCCCCAGGGCCCCTGTCTCTCAGCCCCTCTCCTTTCTGGTCCTCACAAGGGCTTATGAGGCAGGAAGGGCCACTGCAGCCCCATCACAGGTGAGGTGGAAATAGAGGCTCAGAGACTGCAAGTGACTTGCCCAAGGTCACCCAGCAAGTAGGTGGTGGGGCCAGGGCCCCATGTGGTGCCTCACCCACCTCCCCACAGCCGGGCCACAACTTGGCCTCAGTGGAGCTTCACGGAGGCACAGAGAAGGGGAGCAGCTGGCTCAGATCACACAGCAGCTTGGGGGTGGAACCCCATCTCCTGAGCCCTGGAACCCCCTCTAGGAAGGGAGGGTTACAATTCCTGTCCCAACTACTGACTGTCCACTGGGAAGCTGACCGGCCACGGCCAAGTGGAGGAGCTGGGCGGCAGGGGAAGGAGACTTGTCTGTCGGTGCCCGTGATGTGGGACCCAGAGCCGTGGGTGTGAGGATGGAGGCGGGGAGAACTGTCAGTACCTGGCGCCCCAGGGCTTGGGGGCAGGAGGGTGGGCGAAGGCAGGGGTAGCTTCCTTGTTTCTGGCCTGGCTCCGGGGATGGTGGGATTGCCACCAGTCAAACAAGGGCGCAGGAGAGGGCAGGTTTGGGGGTGAAGGTGATCAGTCCGGGGAGTAAGTTGAGATGCAGTGTCTCGGGGGAACCTCCAGATGGAAATATTTAACAGGGAGTAGCCAGGAGCAGAAGGGAGTTTGGAGCAGCTTGGAAAGATCAAGGAGGGGGGTCAGGCCCAGCTCCCAAGGGGACCTGCCACCTGCAGCCTTATCCCTGCACCAGACACCCGGCTCACTTTTTCCTGGGGCACTTCCCACGCAGACACCAAGGCCCACAGAGCCCACGGACCCAGGCAGAGAAGCCCTGGCCACGGTCAAGTTAGAATCAGCCCCCACCAGAGTCCAAGTCCTCCTGGCCTGGCCATGGCCAACCTCCCAGAGAAACTGACCCCATTCCTGCTGGGCATGAGCATACCAGGGCGGGCAGCAGAGGGCGTGGGGACTTAGCCCAAGAAAACCAGACCTCGGCCAGCCTCAGAGGGCAGTGGCTCTGATGACGTCATGGTGGCCTGGCTGATTGGCCAGGACGCCGCCCTCCTGCACTGGAGAGCAGCCGAGTTCCGAGGCTCCTGTGACCCTCACTCAGGGAAATGCCCTCGGGCTGCCTCCCACTCAGTCTGGTCCTTGGAGTCAGAGTGTAAACTGAGGGGCAGGAGAGGAAGGAAGGCAGGAAACTTTGTCTGCTGGCCTTCCACCCCACCATCGACCAACAGCCATTCCAGCCTGTCCCAGGAAAAGAGGGTGGCAGGAATCTAGACAAGCTCCTAGGTCTGGGTCCTTTGGCAACTCGGGCACCGTGTGGAGTGTAAATGGAACAGTCCCTTGTGGTCGCCTGGCCTCCAACCTCCTCCTCTTCCCTGGCTCCAGAGCCCCCTACTGTGTGCCTGCGGGTGTGCCCCAAAGGAGGAATCATGAGTGGCCAATTACTCATTTTCCCAGCTCCCTTGCAACTAGGAGGTGGGCGTATAGCCCAGTGCTGGCCAATGACACATAATGAATCTGTTGGGGTGCTTTACTTCCCCCCACTACTTCCTGCCTTTGAACAAGGTATAAGGATGTGAGGCCTTGAGCTGCAGCAGCCTCTTTGTAACCATGAGGCACTGACCATGAGACCAAAAGCCAATTCACTAAGGAGGTGGAGAGGAAGGCTGTGAAGAGTCTGGGTTCTTGAGCCGCCAAACCAATCCTGAGACCACTAACTTCTGGACTTCCTAGTGAACTAACGATAAATGGTAAGGAATAAGCTGCCGGTGGCTGGGTTTCTGAACACATCCCTTCTGATGCCAAAACAGGTTTCTTGTCTGCAGAAGCAGAAGTTGCAGTGTCCAGGCCTCAGAGTTTCTGCTCTCTTATGCCAGCTGCCTGGGTTCTGATTCCCCATCTGGGGTCTGCCTGCCTGGTCCTGCCTTCACCCACCTGACCCCAGCCCCTGAGCCCAGCTCCGTGCTCTCTCTGACCCCTGCGGGCTCACCTGACCTCAGCACAGCCCCTGAGGCTGCGGGGCTGTCCTGGCTGCTAGCCTGGCTTGTGTCCCCCTCCCTCTGCAGGCTGCCGCCTCTCAGGGCCCTCTGACCGGGCTGACGAAGCTCCCAGGGGCCCAGTTCCTCCAGGGGACACTTGGGCATAGAGCAGGCAGGTGGGCAGCTGGAAGGTGATCCAGATAAGACACAGGAGTTGAGACAGTAGTCTCCCACCCCCTACCTGGGGATCCAGAAGAAACGCAGTGGCAGCCACCTCTCTGCACACCCGTCTCGAGCTACCCCTCCTGCTCCCCCACCCAGGAGCCACCTGAGCTCACCCCTGTCCACCAGCCTCAGAATGACCCAGTGAGGGGCCGGGAAATGTCTCCTTCAATTTCCATTTTACAGGGCAGCAGACTGAGGCCCAGAGCTAGGAAGGGACCTGCCAAGGCAGAGCAATTACTGGAACAGCCTGACCCCCCACCTCTGTAGTCCCCTGAGGTCTACAGAGGGGTCATGACCCTCACCCTCAGGGCCAGAGAGTAAGCCCCACCCCCAGCCCGCTGCCATGGCCTTGGCCATGGTCGTGGTACAGCCTCTCTAGGCAGAGGGAGGTGTCAGGGTGGGAGGACCAGGGGAGGAATTGCTCATGGTGGGAGGGCATGGGCGAGGGCTAAGTGGGCAGGGGACAGCTGGCACGGTGCCAGTCCTCCCCCAGAGCTGTGACTTTTAACACCCCAGTGAGTGTACTGGGCCTTGGCCAGAGCAGGCTGTCAGCCAATGCTCTGCCAAACCATGTGGAGGTTTCAGGTGCCTGGAAAATGTCCATCAGGCCAGCCAGCCTGGGGACCCGACCTTTTCTAAAGTCTCGGGTACCAGAAGTACATCCCAGCATCTTCCCCAGCGTCCCTCACACCTGGGACCCTCAGGTTTCTTGCTCACCCCACTCCCTTCCCGAACCCCAGGAGACTGGCCTGGCCCAGAGAAGGTTACCCCGGGCCACTGAAGCCCCAAACAGCACCCATCCCTCAGGACCAGGCTGCTCAGTCCTGCTGGGCTCCCTGGGGCTGATGCAAGCCCCTCCCCAACCAGCTCCCTAGGCCCATTATCCCCAGACCATCTGACCTTGGCTTCCAGCGTGGTCAGGCGGTCACTCATGTCACTGAGCCGGGTACAGTTCATGCATTCTGAAAGAGAAGAGGTGAGAGTGGAGTAGATCCTGGGGAGAGAGCAGCCCAGCCACAAGGATAGCCTCTGGTCAGGCAGGCAGGGAAATATCTGAGCTGTCGCCAGCAAAACTCCTACCCACCCTTCAGAGCCTTATCCTTAGTGCCCCCTCCTCCATGCACTCTGCCTGACCTCTGACCCTCCTTTCTGGGCATCCACAGCACAGAGTACTGTCTGTTTACTCAGTGAATTGTCTGAGCCAGCACCTGGGTTGTCTTGTCAGTCTGTGGGTGCCGTATGGGCGGGGTCTTTGTCTATTTTGTTTGTTCATGAATTTCAGTGCCTGGCACAAAATAGAGGCTCAAAAAATATCTGATAGTTGATGAATGGATAGTAAATGAGACATGCTCCCTGACTTTGAGAACTACAGTCTGGGGAAGTATACAGGCAAATAGACACAGGCTGGTAAGGGCTATAAGAACAGAACATGCAAAAGAGCATCATGGGGGATGTCAAAGCCCATCTGGGGTGGGCAGTGGTCCAGGAGGGCTTCCTGGAGGCAGTGGCATCTAAGGTGAGGCCTGAGGGATGCACAATGACTGGTCAGGTTCAGCAGAAGGAAGAATAAGGGCTGAGGCCCCAAGGAGAACAGAACAGGGGAGCGTCTGCCAGCAGCCTGGCCTATCCGAGCACACCTGTGGGCCACCAAGGCTGGAGCAGTGGGCTGGGCCCTGACACAGGAGGCCTGGGGGGAAGAGCTTGGCAGTACCCTGAGGCCAATGGGCTGCTGTTGGAGGGGGTGAAAGCCAAGGTCAGATTTGCATTTTTAAAAGCTCACTCTGGCGGCAGAAGTGTCCCATGGGTGGGAGTGGGAGGGCCTGGGAGCCAAAGGCCAATTAGGAGACCAGTGACTGTCAACCCCCCAGGCATACATCTCCCTGGGCTGTAATCATCTATTTACGTCTGTCTCCCCCAGAGACCCAGAGCTCTTTAATGAGGAAATAGATGGTTCAAAGCTGTTCAAGGAGCTTTTATTGCTCTAGAAGTCAAGAGATGCTTAGATTCCTCCCTCAGTTCAAAGCCTGACCCTACAGGAACCCCATTCTGGTTAAACAGACACACGAGAGCTATTAGGGTAACTCGGCAGGTCCCACTTGGTGTTCAGAGGCCCTTTGGCCACAGCGAGGCCCCCGGCCCCCCATCGTCAGCCTTGTCTGTCCCCCATCTTTGTCGCTGAATGCAAACCACCTTGTAAATGTCCCTATTTTAAAATAATGAGTGCTCTGTGAGAGATGTGAGGAGACACCAGGACGTTAGGACCATGGGAACAGGTGATTCAGGCCGTGTCCTCCCCAGGGGCGCCCAGCCTTGGGGCCAGGGGTGCTGACAGCCCCCACTTTCTGCTCACCAGCCCTACCTGGCTTTATGTGGGCTGGCAGGGGTCCCCTCACCCTCATCTCCCTCCCCATCTACCCTGGGCTCGGCCCAGTCAGTGGTTTATAAGCCTTTTTTAGGAACAGAACTCTTTCTCCCCCAGTAAAACCTTGTCAGGAACCCCGATACATAAAAGAGATTAAAAACTGAGGCGTAAACACTGAAACTTTAAAACAACCAGAAGAATGTATACAGTTGTCTGACTCGGGGACGGGGCAGGACTTCACAAAGGATCAGCGAGAAAGGAGGCGGTTTTCTGGTTAAACATGGGGAATTGAACACACATGTTTCCCTCTAGTTCCTCCCAGGAAAGGGATGGTGAAGGGAGAAAAAGGTACAAACCACAAAGCAGAGAGATGGGCAGAGGAGACTTCGCAGTGAAAGGCAGCCGGGGGCCAAGTCCCAGGCTCGCCGACACAGGAGGGCTTGGAGATCAGGGAAAGGAGAGGGTCCTCTCTGGGCTCAGCGACCCACCCAAGGGGAAAGGCCGACAGGCGCTGATACCTAGGGAGGCCCCCTTCCCCCCGCACCCCCTGTACAATTGCCTCCGGTCAACAAGGCCAAAACACACGGAAAGAGCCCCAGGGGGCTTTTAGTGCCTCCCTCCTAAATACAGATGGTCCAGGATTCCTGTACCTCTGAAAGAGGCCCTTCATGGGAAAGACAGACATCAGAACAAACAGGGTCCCATTTGTCATTCCACCCACCCTACCCTCCACCCTCCACCTTACTTTCCACCCACCCACCTTCCCATTCATCCATCCCCCACCCCTCCCTTCACCCCCGGATGCTACCCATCCCCAACCATCCCTTCATCCACCTGGAGGCACCATGGCTCCCCGTGAGCCCCTTGGTGACCCCGTGCTGATCCTGATGGGTGGGTGGCAGGGCAGCATGAATGGGGTGCCTGCCCTCGCAGCAAAGGCCCAAGAGCATCTCACGGGAGAACAGGCGCTGACTCTGGAGGAGGGCTGGCCTGGAGAACTTTCCTGTTTGAGCCTCAGCTGTCCCCTCCACACACAGGAGGGCACCACCCCACCCCGGGGCTCAGCAGGAAGGGGGGGGGCAGGATGGCCATGGGTGAGGTGTCAATCAGAGCCCCAGCCCCACCCAGTGAACATTTCTGAGGCATTTAGAGGCTGTGAACACATTTCCAGGGTGTGAGGCAACAAACAGGACTCGCTGCAGGGGGGAAGGCCAGCAGAGGAAGGGGTGAGCCTTGGGCTCTCCCAGAAACCTATTTCTGGAAAGTGTGCTGGGCCCGGACCTAGTTTGCTCTGGCACCGGGCACCCTGCTTGGCCTGTGGGGAGCGGCTTGGCTGTCAGCAGGCACAGGGCGGTCCAGCTCCCCAGCCGCAGAGAGGCCCAGCCAGCGGGCAGGGGCGAGGCTGCCAGCTCAGCCTCCCTGTGCCACCTGCCCGGGCAGGCGCTCTGAGACTGGGCGGGTTTTATGGTTCCCCTGGCATTCTGTCATCGACAGCAATTAAATTATGCATTTGACTTTCTCTAACTATTCCTCGGAGCGGTGGAAATACGGAGATGGGCCTGGTGGGGACAATCCTGGCTGTGTGACTGGCCGAGGCCCTGCCGCCTGGCTCTGGGCCGGTTCCCCCTCCCTGAGACGCAGACTCTAACTCTCTGGGATTCTGAGGATTCCCACGTTCCCAGCACACACAGGCCCGCGAGTGTTTCCTAGTTTTGAGGACACAGCAGCAGAACCTGTGTTGGGAATTCTCTGCCAATATATCAGAAGGGTGGATGTGCCAGGCGAACTGGTGTGTGTGTGTGTGTGTGTGTGTGTGTGTGTGTGTGTAAGAGAGAGAGAAACTGACTGCTTGGCGTGGTCAGTAGAGAGAGCACTATAGAGGCCACTAACTCACTGTGTGGCTTGTGAGGCCCTCTTTCTCTCTGCACCTCAGTTTCCCCATCTGTAAAAGGGGTTTACATTGCTCAGCTCCAGGGGCCTCGGGCTCCTGGACTCTTTGCTCCTGCCCTTGCCGGCCGGCTGCCCTCTCTGCCTTTCTCTTTCTGTTCCTCCTCCCAGGGCATCCCACCTTGGTGCCTCCAGCTTCTGCTTACCTCACCCATCCCTTTCCTGCTTGGGCCACGAGACCCTGACAGGTGCAGCCAGGGCACTTGGATGGTCCTGTCCCTAGAGGCCCAGGTCCCTCTGAGAGGTCTCTGAAATGGTCTGCAGGTACGGGGCATACGCAGGGTGGATGTCACCTGCAGCCAACCCAACGGGGCCCAGCTGGAAGAGACCCCTATAATCCCCCGGGAGACCTTTGACCCTAGTCAAGACTCCTAGGGGAAAAAACCTCCAAGGAGGTCAATAGGGTAAGATACTGCGGGGACAGGGGTAGGGCAGGCCATGGGTGCACACAGGGCACCACAGGAATAAGGAGGTCCTGAGTGATCTGTTTCCCTAATGTGACAAGAGCTATGGAGGTAAGCTCCCCCCCGCCAAAAGCCTGACTCTAGGGAATGAAAACTGGTGGTAAAGAGGAGTACAGGGGACTCTCCTTTCTCATGGTAAGCCTTGAAGAGCTACTGGCCTTTTTAAAACAATGTATATATTTAACATACGTAATGTAATTTAAACTTTTAACTGGGTGAAAGCATGAAACGTGATTATGATGCTGTGTGGAAAATATACAAAATTGTATCTATTCATGAGCTGGCAGGAAACAGGCCAGCTGCAGGCTGGAGCTCCAGAGGTGGTGCCACCAAGACATGATCATTCCAGATTTTTCCAGTCCTGGTGTTTCCAATTCAGCCTGCAGCTCTTAAGTGCCCTCTGGTGCTCTAAGCCTAGCTCCGTGGGTAGCAGCGAGGACCTGGTAGGAATTTTGTAAAATACCTTCCCTGGGGGGCTTCCTTGGTGGCACAGTGGTTAAGAATCTGCCTGCCAATGCAGGGGACACGGGTTCGAGCCCTTGTCCGGGAAGATCCCACATGCCGTGGAGCAGCTAAGCCCGTGCGCCACAACTACTGAGCCCGCGCTCTAGAGCCCGCGAGCCACAACTACTGAAGCCCGCACGCCTAGAGCCTGTGCTCCGCAACAAGAGAAGCCACCGCAATGAGAAGCCCGCGCACCGCAATGAAGAGTAGCCCCCGCTCGCCACAACTAGAGAAAGCCCGTGCCCGGCAACAAAGACCCAACTCAGCCAAAAATAATTAATTAATTAATTAATTAAAAAAAAACCTTTCCTGGGCCTGGGAAGCCACCTTTCCAGTTAACTTGTAGAGAACCGCTTGTCCAGGTACTTGCAGACAGATCGGATTTTTCTAAGACACATACCCCAGAAGGAAGCGTGGAAAGGACAAGGCCAGGCCAAAGGTGGGGGCCCTACCCTGGGCCCCCCTGTGCTCCTCCACACATGCCAGAGCAACGAAGCCCATCGGGGGTCGGGAGCCTGCTGGTTGGATGGAGCTGTGGCTGCTTGCCAGGCCCAGCCGTGGGGCTAATGGACAGGACAGAATAATTAAATTCCATCTTTTTCTCTATCACGGATCACAGAGAAAGCCAGATATTTTTTCAAGAACTTCTGCCAAGAGTTTTTATTGAAAAGTAATTTGAGTTTCT